AATCTGTTTTCTGTCATACAAACCTCACTCTGGCTATAGTGTAGAAAATGGACCGTGGAAAGGCAAGAGAGGAAAAGGGCGGCCACACAAATGCTCACACCAGAGACGACAGTGGCTTGGGTTAGAGTAACCCAAGCTGGGACTCGAGGAAACAGGTGAACTGTGATTATCTTTTGGAAGTAGAGCCCCTAGGCCTTGCACGCTGGCTGTGGATTTGTGGCACTATGTTCCCTTATTATCTCGGTCCTGCTCAAAAATGTCATTCAACAGAAGAGCTACCCCAGGGAGGGCTGTTAGAGCTGGTCACTAACATTCCGGTTCTCCTCCTGGGCACACAGCAGGAGTAGACTCCTTTGCTTCTGTGGCGTTAGGCATGGCCGCGTAACTAGCTCTGGCCAATGAAATAGGAGTGCATTGTCACGCACCACTCCCAGAAGGAAGCTCTAGGAGCCACTGCCTGATCAGCCTCTCCTCCCTGCTCCTGATGCTGCCATCACGACAACATGCATGGAAAGGGAGCACCCAGCCTCCTGGACCCCAATACTGAGATGAGCAGAGCCCCAGCCAACTTACAATGGACACAGAACGTGAGCCAAAAACATACCTTTGTTGGTTTACATCACCAAGATCTTGGAATTCTTACCTCAACTAATCAGGCCTATCCTGACTGATAAGAGCTCCACACCTGTGATATTTAAAAGTTAATGAGTAACTTTAACACATGTCTATCGTGGCTGGACTCGGCTACACAGGAATAAACGTCATGGAGTGGTGGACTGACATTTGGACCACTGTCTTACCATGATTTGGGCTTGATGTGGGACATGAAGGCGTGGACACCCCCAGGGAGTGAATTTACAATTACCCACACACATGGCATATACAAGCAACAAATCCTTTGTGAAGATAAACGCTGGGCCCACAAACTGTAAGATATGCTAACTTTATCAATTACAAAAGGTTCAAATTGGGGTTAAGGTCACATTTCAATTCTAAAACTGTCAATCACCAACGATGGCCTTGTGGGGGAAATACACAGAAATTCAAGCTAGAAAGGTACTCCTTTGACAAATGAGACAAAGCTAAACTGTGTTTAATATTTCCTTGGATAATGTCCATGCCTATGGATTCTGCAGTGAGTCATTTAACAGGTCCCAGGCTTAGAGTAACAAGGCATGCAAAATTGGACCAACCTAAAGATGTCTCATCTGGATGCATGCCTTAATGGTCCTAGTGGACAAATGAGTCAACCCTAAAGTGACCCAATCAAAGAAAAGATTCTGATGTGGTTGAGTCTTCTGGGCCAATTTAGAACCAAAGCTCTCTAGACATTTTGCCCTCAGGATATCAAAGTAAGTATCTTGAGCTATTAGGCCCAGCAGGGGCCAGGGCAATCCCGGCCTATAACCGAGTTCATCAGTGGCCTCTGCTGGGTGTTGAAGGTCCTGCGTATTGACCCAATCCTCCCTTGAAAACCAGAAGAACTGCTCAGATCCGTCCTGGGCAGCAGCCCAAGTGGACTTCAGGGAAGCGGGTATGTCTTAGTCAGCCAAACACAGAGAAGAGGAAGGAATCAAAGTACACTCATGGCTCTACTGGCTGATTAAAAGTTAAAGGGTAGCACAGGCTACAAATGGGGCCGTGGCCCCAAGACGGCTCACGAGCTGTCAGATTCCTCAGCACCAGAGGAAACTGTCAGATCCACCCTGACCACAGGAATCAGAACCACGAACTGGCTAAGAACCAACTGGTGCACTCATACAAGCTAGTCATCACTGGCCAAGCCCGCCAAGATGGTACCTTTCATTCTCACTTATTTGCACATAGGGTTAAGGGAGAGAGTAAGAGAAGAACATCGCTCTACTGGCACAGACTTCACGGGGAAAAGTCCGCTGACCTTGGGAGTCAGTCCCAGGACTCACAGGGATGGATCTCCTCCGGCCTGAGGATGAGGGTGGACAGCAGAAGCAGGGCCGTGGGTGACCCGCCGCAAAGGGTAGACCCACTGCAAAGGGTAGACCCACTCACAGTCCCTGCTCCCAGCACAGGAGAGGCCTAGGACTGCCTCACACTCTCCTACTTGACTCAGCTGCAGAAAAACCCTTCTCCTCCTCAGGCCTGAGCTTTGTCTCACTAAACTTGATGCTCGAATGCCAGTGTTCTCAGGATTGGTGTTGTTCTTGGTAGATGTGTTTTGCCTTAGACAAGTTTTGCATAACTATGGGGCTTGAGGAGGTACAGGGTGGGAAGGGAGTTGCTGCAGCTGCAGAGAGAGCGTTTAGTAACGTGAGATGTGTGGTAGGCTGAACAACGCCCTCACAGATGCCTAACCCTTAATCCCCACAACCTCACATGACAAAAGGGACTTAGCAGATATGATCAGGTTACAGATCTTGAGATGGGGGGATCATCTTCGATGATTCCGGTGGGCTCAATGTGATCACAAGGGAATTCTAAGAGGAAGAGGGTTGGAATCAGAGACAGATGTGACTATGATGACAGAAGCAGAGGTCAGAGTGATGGGACTACTCTCTTTGAAGACAGAAGAGGGCCACAAGCCAAGAATGTAGGTGGCCCCTAGAGTTTGGAAAAGGCAAGGAATGAATTCTCTCCTGGGGTTCCAGGTGGAACCAGCCCTGCCGACACCTGGATTTCAGCCCTGTGAGACTGATGTTGGATTTCTGACCTCCAGAACTGTAAGATAATAAACTCGTGTTGTTTTAGGTCCCTACATTTGTGGTAATTTGCTGCAGCAGCAACAGGAAACTCACATAGTAAGTCCTCACTTAACATTGCTGGTAGGTTCATTGGAAACTGCAACTTTAAATGAAACGACGTAATGTATGCTGCAGGTAACTCTTGTTAACTCTTGTTTCTATCAATTAGCCTAAAGTAAAATTGGTTTTATTAGACAGCACTTCATTTCACTTAAAGTCACAGTTACCAAGAATCTATGGATGACGTTAAATAAGGATCTACTGTGCACAAGACATTTCACCATCCAAATTCCCTCGGTTTTGCCTTGTGCTAGCATAGCTTCCCCTTAGAGCAAGATGGCAGACAGGCCAAGTTCCCTGGAGAAGGTGTCGTGGAAGAGCCAGGCAGTGTAATGCTTTTTGCAAATGAGAAAATGTTACAATGGTAGTGCATTGGTTAGGCAGAATTTTGTTTTATGACACTTTAAGACATTCTGGATGGGTCCCCAAGGTTTGTATGATCCCACAAACCCATTAGATTAAATCAGTATACAGTTTTCCCCTTCATTTCTAAAGAATTATTATACTCCTTGTTATGAACAAGTATAGAATTTCTAAGTTTTCCATGTATATTTCTTCAACAGAAAAATGAAGGACAGATTTATTCTGGGCCTTAGATAAACCTACATTATGACTGTTTAAAATGAAAATCCAGCAGACCTTGCTGTGCTCAGATTTCAATCTGATTTAAACAGAAATCTATGCACATGTAAACACAACCATCAGTAACAGCGGTTTTCCCTGTGGAATTCCCAAGTGCTGGGAGTGGGTTATAGAAACTCCTGTTCTGTTTTTTTACGATAAAGGTCAAAGGAAGTCCTAGCGAGGTGCCTCTTGAAGAGAGAAACTGGGGAATTCGCCCCATGTGGAATCTGCCACGTAGCTTTGCCAACAGGCTGGCGCAGTGGTTCTCACGCTTCTTCCCGCATCAGCATCACCCTGAGAGCTTGTCAAACCCCGACTGCTGGGTCTCAGCCCCGGAGCTGCAAGGCAGTCAGTCCAGGGTGAGCCTAAGAACGTGAGTTTCTGCCCAGCTCCCAGCAGCTGCTGCTGGCCGGGGCCACGCTTCGACCACAGTGGAGGGACCACGCTCAGTACGAAGCCCGATTTCTCGCACACCTGAGACGGGCCATGACTCCACCTCCTCCGACTGAGCTCTCCCTGCCAAGCTAGCAACCACGCACTGAAACTGTTGATGCGCTTCCACCCCCTCCTCCTTGATTTTAAGCCGGGGTTTCTCTAGCCCGGCTCCACACTGGAATCACCGAGAGACATTAAACCCCTCCACGCCCAGCCGCAGTCTAGATCGGCTGGATCAGAAAAGCGGTGTGTGAGGTGGGGCATGGGCGGTCCCCAGTGGTTCGTAAAGCTCCCCACGTGATCCAAAGTTCAGCCGAGACAGAGAACTGCTGCCATAAGCAAACACGAGGGTGACAAAACGATGCCAGCTGCTGAAGCAGACAATTCCACAGGACTCTGTGCCAGGCCCGGATGCAGGTCTGTCTCTTGCAGAGCTGGCCGCAGCCCTTTGCACGATGACATATAATAAGTGCCCAGTAAATGCCCACTGAATGATGAATGAATGAATGAATACTAATCAACCGGCAAGCTTGTGGAGGGCTAGTGCCTTCTTCTCAAGGGTCCCTGGATGAATACGCAGAAACAAATTAAGTCATCCTAAAGCATTAAGCTTCATGAGGCAAGTAACCCTACAATAATAATAAAAAAGTTCTTTGAAAAAGTTCTACCCCGCAGTTGTAAGTCTAAATTAATATCATGACTACTGTGGATGAAAACTAGAAAAAATATTTTGGTCCAGAACAGCAGTCAGCAAACTAATCCACAGGCTGAATCCAGCTGCCACCTATTCTTAAAACCAGAATGTCACTGGAACACGGCCACACCCATTTGTGCCCGTACTGCCTACCGTTGCTTTCGCACTACGCCGGCAGAGTTGAGCATCTTCTGTTGAAATTGTACACCCCCAAAGCCAAAAATATTTACTCTCCAGCCCTTTACAGAAAGTTTTCCAACTTCTGCCCTAGAGAAATAGGGGACACACAGAATATATAATGGCAACTGTCTCTAAGTAGTGGAATTGTGGGTGACTACTTCCTTTTCTTCCCTACATCAGCCATCTTTAAGAAGCGTGCATTTTTAAATAATAGACCAAAGAAGAAGAAACAGTCAGCCTCGACGCGGGCAATAACCAGCGGGCTGCCTGGCTCCCCTCGGTGCTGGTACCTTGTTTCCGATGGCCTTCTTGGGTGGGAAGTTGTAGGCCCTCACTTGAGGGTACTTGTTTTGTAACTTGTGGTGCAAACTCCTGAACTCCGTATACCGCCGATAGACGTTCCATTCATCATCTTTGATCCGGATGTAGACCTGTCAAGAAAAGGAAAGAGAAAATGTAAACTTCTCTTAAAACCCTCACTATAAGGGATTAGGATTTCAGCAAAGCTCCGCCCATGCGAACCAGCTCCACCTGAGCAGGGTCGCATCTGTCCCGCACACCACTGGACGTCCAGCTCCTGCAGAGAGTAAGGACTCCCCGGTACTGGCTAAACAAACGGCACAGGAGAGAATGACTCCACCTGGCAAGTTACAGGAACAGCACGCTGTGTGTCATTTGCCTAACGTCAGCAGAGATCAACAGCGGAGATGCATTTTCATGCTTTTGTCACATGCGTATTGTAGTACTAATGGTTTGCTATTGTTCAACCTCTCTGGCCATTTATTTTCTCATCTGTGAAACGGAGCTAATAACAGCACCTCCCTGCAAAGGCTATACAGACGGCGAATTGATATATAGGCAACACAGCGATGCCCGCGCTCACACAGACCACACAGACAGGGTGGAACCCAATTTGGGGAAGCGGGGAGGGGACCAGAGGTGAGCTCTGCCCAAGTGGACAGAGCGTCACACCCAGATGGGATAAGCACAGCTGAGACATAAAACTTCTTTATTTTAATCAAGTTGTGACTCTCAAGAGAATATTCTGAGGTCACAAAACGTGAGGGCTATTTCATCAGCTTTTTACAGCCCTGGCACCTTCCACAGACACACAGCAACTACATCGCAAGGAAAAACAGAGGAGAGAGAGAGAGAGACAGAGAGAGACATCAATCCATTTTTTTTTAATTACACAAGTTAAGAACAGCCCAGATAGTAAAGCCCCCAATGAAAAATGGCTATTGTAATTTACAATCAGTGACTGTCAATACACATCTTAAAGATTTCTCTAACCATAAAAATAGGCACCTCTAACATGAGTGATAAATTCTGCCTCTACGTGAAAACCACCCATCATCCCCAAATGCAGAGATTACATATTCAAACCCTGGTCTGGTGACCATGAGGGTCTCTCACAATATCCTTGTGAACAAGAGGAAGGAATGAAGACTTATACCAAAGAATCTCAATTAATGGATAGAAGTTTCCAGTGGAATTGGATGGAGAAAGAGAACACTCTAGGTGTACAAAACATGAGCCCTGTTTCATCAACATTTTACAGGTCCTAGCACCTTCCGGGAACATACAGCAGCTACTTCACAAAGGAAACCAGAGAAGTGGGAGAGAAATCAATGGGTTTTAAAAAATCGCACGAGTTAAGAACAGCCCAGAGGGTACAGTCTCCAATGATAAATAGCTATTGTAATTCGCAATCAGTGAATGTCAATACACATCTTAAAAACCTCTTTAACATAATGATAAAAACTCTCTAATGTGAGTGATAAATTCTGACTCTACATTTTTCATAACATACATGCAAAAGCCAACTGTTTTCACTCCCTGGAAGGGGGAGTCCTTCTCTCACTCTCTGACTGCTCTTCCTCGGCCTTCCATGTAGGCACCTCCTCTTCTGTCTAAAACACGCCTCGACCCTACACACCCATCCACACGCCCAGTTCTGCACTGTACATTTTTAAGGCCAATGACTCCTAGATCTCTCTCTCTCTAGTTTGGACCCCTGATGTAAACTCCAGACCAGGACCTGACTTCCCATAGCCACCTAAAACTCATCATGTCTAAACCTGAGCCCAGATCTTCTCACCTATCTTGCTGAGCGCTAGCCCAGGCACTTCACAGGGCTCATCCGCCATGCCTCCTCGTGTCAATCCGCAAGGCAACCGGTATGAACATCTCCCTTTTCAAATGAAGGAAGACACGGGCTCAGAGAAGTCACGTCACTTGCCCAGGGGAGGTAAGGAGACAAAGGATCTAAACCCAGGGTTGCCTGCCACTAAGGCCTGGCGCTTTCTAGCGCAGTACGCCAAGCAGTGACCCAGGCTCCCGAAGGCGCCAGGAGTCCCAAACCAGCGCTGTGGGCAGCTGGGCAGAAGGGCCCCTGCTCAATTCCTCTGAGGCTCAAGTGCCCCTTTGCTGGGCAGATCCTGTGTCCTCAGAACGGTCTCCTTGGTAGCAGATGTTCCAATTCCATCTTCTCATTTATGCCTCTCCCTTCAGATCTAATCTAATCTAGTGCCATGCAATTAAAATCACCCAGTATTACCTGAAAGGTTGCTCTTCACCAACAATGCTTTTAGCATCCCAAATTAGGGAACATTCTTTGCAAATTACGTTGTCCTTGAATTATATATATTTAACCAAGTCCTGGACTTATTTCACTGAAGAATGCAAAGGGCTTATGCCCAGAACTGTTTTGTTTTGTTTTTTTTACTTTAAAAGGCTCTCCCCTGCAAATTAAGTTTGATTGGCCCCAATTTCTTCTGCTTGAGCCACAATGATAATAATTCCCTGGAGGAATGAGAAGAGTCGACCTCTTGCAACAAAACCAAGTTCCTTTTAAAACCAGCAATAAAAAGCCACTTCGAGTCCAATCTCCTTGACTCAGCAAAAGAAAATTAAATAGGAGGAGGGTAATATCTGTAATCAGGAATCGGGGTGACCTCTCTCTTCTCCATTTTAAAAGGAAGTTCAAATCTTGAGATTTCTTTTCCACGGGGAAAAACTGCCCCAGTGATGCCTATAATGACACTGGGGGGCAAAGACAGGATAACGGGGAGCAGGGAGGCAGAAACCTCAGTCTATCAATGAACAGAATCCAGAGCAAACTCCTGTACAGACAGGGTCCCAGGGAAACGCTTCCATCTGGAAGATTAAGAACGTCTGCTGGAGCACTCCCACAGGGCTCTCTCCTGCCCTTTACCACTCAACACCACTCTCCCCTGCGCCGAGCGCTGGCCCCAGACACTCCTCCACCTGCTTTCAGACTTTATCCAAACAGATCATGCGCTGTGTGCTCCACTCTGTCTGGTTTCTTTCGCTCAGCACCACGTCCACGAGATGCACCTGTGTTGTTGCGTACAGCACGCACGTCCCTCTTCATTGCTGCGTAATATTCCACTGCACAAATAAGCCACACTTTGTCTACCTGTTCTGCTGGGATAGGCATTTAGGTTGTTTCCAGGTGGGGCCGTTATGAATAAAGCAGCTATGAACATCCATGTGTGAGGCTTTGGCACTCATTTCTTTTGGGATCATAGACCTACATGTGAAAGGGGAAACCGTAAAGCTACTAGGAGAAACATAACAGACTGTCTTCACGAGCAGGCAAGGATTCTTACATAGAGCACGAGGCGGCACAAAGGAGCCTTCTAGATGCTGGAAATGTCCTATCTCCCTCTCTAGGCAGTGGTTACATAGTTACATACAGAAGTATAAATAAACATAATTACAAGCTTAAAATTTATGCACCTGATCATATTTATGTTAATCCTGAATTTAAAAACAAAACCAAAACAAAGCTGCACCTTCACTGTCCTCAGGAGAGTGAGCTTTCACCCCACTGTGTGCCAGGATGTCTAAGCCAGGCCGTGAACAGGGCAAGAGTGGGTGCCGAAGGCTCTGTGGGGGACAGTCCACGGGGACCTGTCACACTGTCGGACATCAGCGTTGAGAAGGAGCCCAGACACTGGCCTCAGGAAGACCTAGGTTCAAATTCCAGCCTCGCTTCTTGCTAGTCAAGTGATCCTGGGTAAGTCAGTTCGCCTCCCAAGCCTCGATTCTCCATTTGGAAAGTGAAGATAGTGCCATTAGCTCCATCTCAGCGGGAGCAGAACCGAGCGATTACGTGCAGGGCGACATTCTGTACGTCTGTTATAACATCTAACCGCCAAGTGCTGGTGTCCAAGGTAAAATTAGGTAAAATTTATCTCAGACACATACACACACACCTGTGAGGAGGAACGAAGGGTGGAGAGGAAGGAGGGGTGGAGAGGGAGTTCAGGAAGACAGAGAGAGGACGAAGATTTAAAAGCTCACTCTGAGTAGGCTGAAGTCCCAGATCCGGTGTAAGGGTTGCCAAGCACAGGCACAGGTATTTTTAGCCAAATGCACATCGGCTCTCAGGCACTCCTGCAAGGGGCAGAATGGCCTGGGCAGAGGGGATGGCTGTGCAGGGGGAGAGGCCTGTGTTCGCATCTAGTTCTTCCCCTTTCTAGCTGTGACCCTGGGGATGTCCCACCTTCAGACTCAGCTTCTCCATCTGTAAAATGGGTACGACGGCAATCTTGCCGAGTGGCTGTGGGGGGACATCATACCTTGCCCCAAGCCTGGCAGGCAGCAGGCAGTGGCAGCTGTTAATATTGTCACCCCCATCATCTTCGTCATCGGCAGCCTTTGTGTACATGAACTTCCTTATTACAGAATTAGGAGTAATTATAGGATGTGCAATCACGAAATTAAACCAGGTAATTACCCTGCCTAATTAATTGTCAAATGCTAGGCAGGCAGAGAAACACAAACATAAAGCGGAGTCTGCGGATTGGGCAGTTAAGCATCCCCTCTGCTTCCAGAAAACTCAACAAAAACAGCGGAGTTCAGTAAATGACCTTCTCAGGCAGGTTTTCAAGTACTAAACAAAACCCGGGAAGCGCTCCTCGGGCTTCTGACTCAGAATGAGCTCCGTGCACCTCTCCACTGACCGCAGCCCGGCCCGGGCGTTCATCCAGCCCCTGTCACATAAGCACCCAGGTTCCCAGACAAGAGTGCTATTTTAGGAGGAAGACCTCGTAGGAGATGCTTGATGGATGCTGTAAACCTCTGCGAGGATCAGATCCCACAGAGAAACCAGCCGACAGGAATGCGGCGAGAACTCGGAAACGAACACTCATCGACACACCGCTGATTTGGAACCCAAAGTTTAGGCTGCGCCTGCTTCCTGCAGCACAGACCAAACGTCTCCCTCTCCATTTCCAAATCCACGTGGCTTCTTGATTACCCGAAGTTCTGCGCCTCGGAATGCAACACTTTTTCATGCATGTTGCAATATTCGAGGGTGAAAGCTAGTATTAACTATAACTTTCTTGGACTTACAGAAGACGACACACCATTGCGCAACACTTTCCGTGTGCCAGACGTT